CATGGGAGGCTAGGGTATTACAGTCGTCCCAAGAGAAATTGAAAACAATGCTTAGCAAAATTTGAAGGGTAAAGAAGATGTATTATGGGTAATATGAGACTGGTGAATACATCTTTGTTTAACAAAACTGGACTTACCACAAAGAGGGAACACTGTACTATTTTAAAAAGATCGACTATCCGTAATTCTTTGGCTTTGTTTTGCACGTTCATCTGGAAAAAACCGGGCACGTTTTCCTCCATCACCTAACCAATGCAATTACCACTCTTCGCTCAGTTTATTGTTTTGGTTTTGTTTCGTCGATACGTGTCTCAAGAAACAAGCCCTTAGATCGTCCTTCTCATGCAATGTCGGTGTTTTACTCTGAAGTACCTGGAATTTCGGGTTTAAGCTCGACTTTCATAAAACAATTCCTCCCTTGAGCAGATTTGAAAGGAGTAATTTTAAGGAACTGGTATCTGTGTCTCGTGCCCACATAAACATCATAATGAACCCTTACTTTGAATATACAACCCGATTCAGCATTGTCTTACACAAAGGGCTGTTAAGTGAATTGTTTTTTAGTCAATAACTGTGTATTGTATTTTTTTCAGCACGTGTATACGACGCGACTTTTCTTTACTTCAGAGCTCTTAAACCTTTTAAAAAAAGGTTTTTCGATCTCGTCTAGGAAAAGTTGACATAGAATAACTTTAAACTGTTGGCTTTCACTTTGTAGACGTTTTTTTTCAAACAATAACTGTGTATTGTATTCTTTCAGCGCGTGTGTACGACCTATTAACGTACCACACTTCAGAGGCCGGGCGTTTTAAGAAGGTTTTTCGATTGCGTCTTGGAAGACTAGACGTTGAATATTTTTAACCTCTTAGGTTTCATTTGATAGACATTTTGTTCAGACAATAACCGTGTTTTGTATTTCAGCACGTGTCTTAGACTTTTCTCCGACTTCAGAGGCTTTCACCCTTCGAAATAACATAGTGACCAATGAAATAATCCGAACTGTGTCGTAAAATCCTCATAAATAAATGGTAAAATGTGGAAGTTCTCGCTAAGAGGTTTCATTTGAATGGTAAAACCTCAGGATTTCCTCATAAGTAGTGTTTAAAATTAACTTGATGTCGCCATAACTTGAGTTCATTCAAGACTGAAACAAATGAGTTTGTTTTATAACCATAAACTTGATAAAAATAGAGCGGTACAATTTTTTCATCTTTTCCTTAATCAACGCCGATAACTTTAAGTAGAAATTTCATTCTTTTTTTGACGCTGTCTGTACCTCGCCTTTTATACTTAACGAAACTATATAGATTTTATTTACAGAAACATACCTCTTCGTGGCAACAAGGAGTAACATCTTACGCATAGTTATTCTAATTTTTTTGAAAAAGGAAAAGCTGAGGGCTGGCACAAGCTGAGGGCAGGCACAAGTAATTACTCTGTAATTCTTCAAAACTAGACAATAATAGAAACGAATTTTTGTAATTATAGCTTTTGTTATTAGCTTTATAACTGTCAGATGTTAAAGCATGACAGAAAAAGACAGGGCTTGATTAGAAATGACAAGTGAAACAAATCTCTCAAAAGTCTTATGTTAAGATACTATTTTCTTTCACAAACACTTCTGTTCCAAAAGGAGAATAAAAAGCAGAAGTTAACCCGTTCAAAGAATTTTATCTTCAAACGGGGTATTCTGCTTCCAGCGATTAAACAATTTTTCTCGGGCACTTTAAAAACGTTTTATTTTCGATTCCGTCTCGAAAAATCTAGACGCTGAATATTAGTTGAAACTGCTGGGCTTCATTTCATAGACATTTTGTTTCGAAGTCGACAGCACATGGCCACGCGACAGTCTTTTCTGAAATTGTTTCAATAAGATTGCGTTACTGAGCGATTCTACAAAAATCCTCGTTTTCTGTACTCGGTAAGCTTGTTTTACTCAGACTTTTGTAGCTAACGATGCTGAATAATAGACAACGCCAGAGGCGCACCTCGATTAAGCAGAATGATTTGAGGTACTTGCAACACCACCATAAAAAATATACACACCGGCAGACTTTGAAAAAAAGAACCTTCGCATTTGACATGTTTAGTCAATATTAATGACCATGATACTGCTTTTAGTTCCGTTGACACAACGATCAATAAAATATTAACCACATTTTAAAAAGGACAATTGGCAGGGCCAGTTACAACAGCTGCTTTCCAGGGTAGGAGAGCGCTCCCACATCTTGGTGTGGAGCGGCAAAAAGTAACACGTGTGTTAAAGAAACTCGTTTACTTTAGAGTAGTTTCATTGCTTCCTTCTGGAAACTTAAGTCGCTGGTTGAAAACGTTTACACGACGTTCTAAACGGATCTGTTGTATGAGATCATTGCATTATCGTTCAAAACGTTCAAAAACGATCTTTAAACCATTACGCCATATTTTCTTCAATTGTTGTAAGTGAAACAGCCAAACCCCGTAGTGTGTGGAGGCCTATAGGTCTCCCCGCTACTTCTTCTTTCTAATTATCTGATATTATTTGTAATATCTACTGTGTGGCAAATAAATATGAAATAAATAAAAACTAAAAGAGAAAGCTGAAAGAGTACGCAGACTTGAATGCAAGCTGATCACCCCAGTTTTTCTGAGAAACCTGTTGCCGCGCTTATGGTTCATCTGAATACTTAAGATTCCTTGAAACAAATTGTGTTTTCCAGAAAACAATTTTCGCCTACAAAAATAAATTTGCTTCATAGAAACAAAGTAACAATTTTCTCGACATTTCTACAACCTCGTGTATTGGGAAATAAAATGGCAACAAAATTCTTCTTAGGATTTGCCCATCCACTTCGACATGAAGAGGCAATAAAAGATATATGAACATTTATGAAAGCACAAAAGAAAAAAAAACTTAGTCAATGTTATTATTTTGTGTGGGTGTTATTGCTTTGGTTCAGTGATATTTTTAAACGCCTTCGGTCGGATATTTAAACGAAGTCTAACTTAGGCCATAAGACCTCCAAATGGTATTTAGATAAAAGCGTTGGGCAAACTGAAAATGGTTTAGAATGCGGTTTTGTTAAACTCCGTTTAAATAACTGGTCCATTACGTTTGTAGACAATTTCTAAGGTTCGTTTCCCTCGCCCAACATAAATTTTTAATTACTCCTGGCTATTACGTCAAAAATAACGAGTTAAATTATCTTTTTCGACTTTTCCAGTCCTAATATCAATTTAAATGGCTATAAACGATAACTTTTAAAATATTTTTTGTCTTTGCGTCTTTAAGTGTTTCAGAAGACGTCGTGGAATTATTTTCCTTATTTCCAAGTATTTTGCCAGATCAAAATTACTGTAACCAGTATCCAAAAAAAATTGACATGATACAGCTCCTATAATTTTCTTTCTTTAAACTGCGCGCATACTATTTAAAAAGCACTTCAAGATCTCAGTGGTAAAATGTTTTTGAATACAAGGCTTGTTACTTGGAAAACTGAAGAATCGGAACATAAAACAGCCCTTCTGACCCTGCGGCCGGTCATCGATTTGGCCATTTGATCTTAGGAAAGGTTTCATCATCATTCCTTTCAAATTATTGCTCACAATACTAATAAACGATTACTCAACTTTACGAAATGAAAATGCTATTCTTAGAAAGGAGAGACCATCGAAAAAATTTAAAAGGAAATAGTTTTTAACCGCGTACGACTTGACTTACGTATTTCTCTTTCTATAACGTGCTGGTGAAAAGGTGAAAACGAGTTTCTAAAATATATAGATATTTATTGTCTCGTTCAGACCAAGCTGCCACTATCGATGACTTTTGGTGAAAAAGCACAGAGATCATGATCTTTAACACTCAAATCATTGTTTGTTTATTTATTGCAAGCATACAATCAGTTGAATCATTCGCGCGCGTGTTTCGTGTATACCACGTGTTTGTTTTTCACTTCAACAATACGCTTTGTAAATACTCTCGGAAAAGTTACAACTCCTTTGTGTGGGATTATTTTAAGCAGGTTTGAGTAACTTTATCAAAAGGTTCAGTTACAAAATCAAAACTTGTGTCATGATACACTACCTAAAGTGAAACGCAAATCCTGTATGTTCTTGGTTGCATTCACGCCCTGTTTGATCTTGTTGAGCACGTTCGAATCTGAATCTTTTGTTTAAATTCTAACGACGTTATCATCTTCGGTACAATTCGGAACAGTTATATTAATTACAGCAGGTTTGCTTCTTCACTGTTGGGGAACAGAAATCGCAAATGAGCGAATTTTAAGGTTAGCAACCGGGATTCTAGTTCAAGTTAATAAATCTCGTATTCGGCATGGAGCCACGCCATGTCGCATCCTTTATTGCGACGATTTGTAATAGTCTAATTACTCCCTTGATTTGAAAAGCGTAGTTAAAAGAGGCCAGACAACGAAATATCAGGTCTAGTACATTGTTCTAAGTAACATTCACTTCACAAAGATTGAAATAAACAGAGTTGTTGGACCTGCGATTAGCATACAATTTCTCCAGCGGTGTGTTTTCTTTTTAAGAAAAAACAACTTGAATGAGAAGTTAACAAAAGATTTGAAGTACAGACCAGGAACATACCTTTTAATGACGACCTCAAAACTGATATGTTCCCGATTTGAGCCTTTCTGAAGTACGTATTTCAGACTTTCTAATAGAAAAAAGGCGGGGCTATAAATCCCTCTCCTGCCTCATGGCCCGAACTGTGGCTTTTTTTTGTCCACGGAAACACTTTCATTGCAATAAATTGACCCGCAATTAGTTTTGAATTGAGGAGGGTCGGAATTTGTTACATGCTAATTACCCGGTAAGTGGTGCTAACTGGCGTAATGACATGCGGTGTATTTGTTATGAAAGGAGGTGTTAAATACTCTTAATTACAATAGCAAACCGCTCGTGTTGGTCTCGCTATATATTCCAGTGCGAAAAACAACTCGATTACTCACTTCACTCTTGTCGGACAGTGTTGTGGTACTTAAGTTATCTCAAGAGTTCAGATCTCAGGCTGTTATACTTCATCCGAACAGACTTCTCGTGAACTATTCCTTCGGACGAAAACACAACTGGAACTTCTGCCACACGATTCCGGTAAGTTGTTTGGTTTTAAAAAAAAAAATTAAAATTACGCATTGCTGTTGTCTTCTGATGTTGGGATTTCCACGCATTTGAGTGCTAGAAAAGAACGGTTGGAATAAATTTTTGTCTCAAATTTATGAAGATATATTTTTCCTAAGCCAAATCGAATCATAAATTCGCACAGATTTCTGATCCTCCCAAACCAGCATTTTTCCTTTGCCTTTTTAGACGTTTTATGTCATGAAGTCAGAAGAGTTTATCAGCTAAGGCACTTCCGTTAGTTTCCTTCTCTGGTGAACGATGACATGCACTGAGCGGAATAGTGTTAAAGAAATTTAAAACAGCATCATGTCTTCCAAAACGGTTATTAGTACTAGAAGAGAAACTGCCTGAAGGATGTTGAGTTGTCTGTGATTCCGAACGGCTGATCTTAACTTTTTCCCTTTTTGCCTAAACCAGGAGGAAGGAACATGGATTCTAAAAGTGGCGAACAAACTACTTTTTCTAAACGTACATTGTCTACAAGCTACGAACAGAGTTTAGAGTCGAACAAACCTGACACAGCACATCACCTTACGCTCGCTCCTATGGTACAGCAAGGAACTACCACCGAGCCACGCTCCAAGTGAGTAATTTTCCATCTCAGATTCAGTATTGGATCAGGTACTTTAGGAAAAAACTTCATAGGAAAGAGGATTTCGATTGAAAATTTTTCCGTCATGAAACTTTCATGACGGTCTCTTTCGAAGGTCCAAAAATATGTTTAGGTGTTTCCCGGATTCATTAGAGGAAAATAGTGGAGTTCCTATGTTTCGTTTCCAAACGTCTTCTTCAGTTCCACTCGGTTTTTTAATTTTCTGAGAATGAAATGTCAGAAGTTTTAGCTTTCCGAGTGAATCGCTTTCATGCTTTTTTCTATTAATTTATTCAATCTTGAGATGAAAAAAAAAAACACTCAAACAAAAAATAAAAAATATATAAACAAATAAATAACAGAAATGGGTAAAAAAAGGAAAGGAAAAAGGGGAAAATACAGAGCTAAAAACAAACAGAACGAAAAGCAAAAAACTAGCGAATTTGAACCTTACATGTTATTAGTTAAAAACGCTTAATCTTATTTGTTTGTTTATGACTTAATTTATATCCTGACAAAACGGAGTTTTCGTAGATTCTTCCATATAATTCGTTCATTCCATTACATGAAGGCTAAGCACATCAGAGATAATCAAACGGTTCGATTTAACTCCAAAGAAAGAGTATTGGTCCTAGAAGTTGTGAATAAACTTTCATAGCCGAGATGGTAATCTTTAGAATGAAGTAAATGAAGAGAAATAAAGAACTATTCAGATCATTAATCCTTCTGAAATTCCGTCCAACTAGCCTTGTGAGGTAGACTTAACCCATGGAAACGATATTTTGTGACTTTCCAATCCTCGATCGATATGGTCAATGTATTCGGGTGCTTACTCTTATCCTTTGATACTGATGTTATCCAAAGGGAGGGATCATCTCCCAGCCAGTTATTCTAAAAATAGACAAGCCAAAAACACAAATCATGGCAAACAGAGAAGAAACTAAGAGTAAAGAAAACCCCCATTTTATAGTATAGTTAGATAGTCGCCCTTTAACCATTGGATCTCGGAAAACGGAATTTTTCAGCGTTAATTTTGCTAATTGAATAGTTTCTTTAACACCCCTCCACTAAGCCAACACTAGGTACTTACTTCTCACTTAGGGCAAAATGTTGGCTAAGGGGAGGGGTAGGTGGGCAGTTTCCCAGAAACGCTTAATGATCTGATGGTGAGGAGCTTTTCTTAGTCTCAACTACAGTCAAATCCCCCTTAATGCGAACACCCCGTTATTACGGACAGTCTGCTTTGTCCCTGAGGAAACAGAGCCCTTACATTTTCTCCAAATTCAACCCCATTAATAAGGGCAGGCCATTAATACGGACACGTTCTTTAACCCCCCCCACCTCTCAGTGTCCCGCGTATTAAAGAGGTTTGACTGTATCATAGTAGAATCAACATACATGTCTTCATGATTTCGTAAAACATAATGACTAAATTCTCTTTCCTTATTTTCAGTTTTCCTATGGTGCATCCTGACGTTATGGAGAGACCATTGTTTCACCCATCTGCTTTTCATCCTGTTCATCACTTGCCCCCAGGCTTTCTCCACTTCAGCCCCGCTCACGGCATATTTCCTCCCAGGCCTCTCTCTTCCCCGTACTTGACAGGATCACCGCACAGCAACGTCCCTGCTTATGGTCCTCCACCCCCGGTACTTTATGGTAACGGAGTACCATTTCTACACTCAGTGCCACCTTACATGCACAAGTTAGTAAACCCAGCAGTTGTCGTAGCCAATAGAAATACGCCTAGAGAGCACTTTGCTTCGGATGACGGCCCTAAAAAGTGTCCCGTCTGTGGAAAGTCGTACGCCAGGATGTCCACTCTGAGGCTTCATCTACGCACTCACAGCGGCGAGAAACCATATCAATGTTTGGTTTGCTTGAAATCCTTCTCGCAAGCTGCCAATCTCACTGCGCATTTTCGCATTCACTCCGGCGAAAAGCCCTTTAAATGCCACATTTGTAACCGCCAGTTCTCCCAGTCTTCATCTGTCACTACGCACATGCGCACACATAATGGGGAACGACCTTACCGATGCCACATTTGTACCAAGGCCTTCGCGGATAGCAGCACTCTTACCAAACACATGCGCACGCATACTGGCGAAAAGCCATACCAATGCGATATCTGTTTTCAGCGGTTTTCCCAGTCAGGGAATCTTAATCGCCATAAGCGCATTCACATGGACCTGTGAAAATTGCTTTTTGAACCGCATAAAAGAAAAAGAAAAGAATTTTTGACAAAATATTGTCATTTAATTTAAATATTTATTGTAAAGTTTATTGCCCAGAAACTTTCCTAATATTGTATGTAGAGAAAAAAAAGGCGTATCATCTTTTGTCAAGACATAATTTTTATTCCTTAATGGATATAACGAAAAAAAGTTGATGTATTAGTCTTAAGCTTAAAACACAGAAATATTTGTTACTATTACAAGATGTTTATATATATTGTGAAATTGAGATATCCGTCAGAAGTTACAATATATCTGAGGTCTATGAAATTAGTTAACTTATGTGGCCAACACTTAAATAAATTTGCCAGTCATGGCATGGTAATGTTGAGCTATTTTTTTAGTTGTTCCTATGAAACAACTTAATTTTAGTGTTAAGGAAGAGGGGAGCATAGGTTAATAATGCAAATAATAACTCATGTGGTGGGGGTTGGGGTACTCCCACAAATACTTAAACAGGTATGTCCCACCTCCTGGGGCTCTATCCGGAATCTCTCTATTATATTACTCTCTCTATCGGCTTTTTTGCTTCAATAACAGAGTTTTATACGTCTGATACGTATTCCATCTCGAATGGAAGGTTATCAAACTGCTCGAGCTGTTAGAGCTCGCGGCGCATTTTTTTATGACCTGCATCATGGGCGGACCATGACCAAGGGGGGTGGGGGGGGGGGCTACTCCGCATTGTGGGGGATGGTCGAATGGGGGCAAAAATCAAAATCTAAAAAAATTCCTGGAAAAAAAATTAACCCCCAAAAAATGCCATGCCGAATTTGCGCGCCTTAGATGGAATGTAACGTGTTAAATATTAAAGCAGCCACAAAACAAGTTTGGCTGTACTTTATTCGCAAAATTACACGCTGCTCCGATACGCGGGCGGGTACTACCGTGAATCTTTTGAATACCCAAAAGGGTCCCTTCTTAAATGAAACCACCCAAAACAATACTTGCCAAATTTTCCTACTACGAAACGAAAATTTCAAACCCCAAAAAATCCTTTGATCCCCATCACTCGAATTCTGGAGCCCCACCCATTTTTTTAGGGAAAAGCCCTGGGGACGAGGTTGTTCCCCACCCCTCCTCCCCCTCCACGGGGACACTATGTAGGAGAAAATCGTAATGTGGAAGCCGCACTAGTAGAAATGTCAGTGGTAGGGGGTCAGCGTTGGAGAGAATGGCAAAGATTTTTTACATCACTGGACGGTATCAAATGCTGGTGAGTCTGTGGCCGCTTGATAATTCTGAGCCCGCGATAGGAATGTACAGGCAGCGGCCCGTCAAAATCAAATATGGAGGTCTGCATCTCAGGTTGTGTGTTCTCTTCGCTGGTTTACGAACTGGAGAACAGTCGAGGCGACGTTGTGAGTGGATTGTTATTGGCTTGCTTACAAATTTAATGTATTGCATCTAAGTTTATTCCATAACTTTGCTTTAGGAAGGACTTTTATTAGGAGAAATCAACAGCCGAATTGTCAACACCGTCACAGATTCACAATCAGAAAACTTGAGACATGAACGAGTTGCAAGTGAGTGTCTTTTTGGCTAACGCTGTTGTTTGATCGATATCAGTGGGAATTTAACTCTTTTTAACTATCATTTCGATTGTCTTCTTTTCAGCTATCCAAGGATTTGTGCCTTTTGGTAAAGTCCATCGGTAAGTTTCGTAATTAGCTTTAACATCCGGAAGTGACAATTGACTGTACGTGGTAAATCAGACAGGAGGCGACGAAGGGTCGATGCACAATTAGTATAGGAGGGGGGTGAATAGGGGTATGCAAATCCGCCGATCCGTGGTATTTTTAGGCCCGATCCGTCGATCCGACTTAATTTTTGTTCAAATCCGAATCCGTGTTACTTGAAAAATTTTTCCTGGTATAAAGAAAGTAGCGTTGTAGCATCAAAAAATGAATTACTTAATATCGTTGTTCTGTAATCGCAACAGATGCGGGACTTCATGTTTAAGAAGTTTTCGTTCAAGTTTCAAAACGTTAAGGTGATTCCCTGGTTTTGCACTTCGCATCTCTTACTGCGCATAACAAGATGGCCTCCGTAAAAAAGAGCATGTGAAGTAACAATATTAAAATGAAGTTGACCGAAGAGAAACGCTATTGCAAATTTTGCTTGCGGTTGTTTCTTG